TTTAGCCCTTTTCAATTTTCTTTTCTCTTGGATTCAGCAGCAGATGGAAAGGGAAAAACACAACCAGGCTATTTTTAATAGAATACCCCAAATTCCTGCATATGACTCGTTGACATTCAAGAACAGACTGTGTCTGCGCGAGTGCGTGAAGCAAGGATTTACAAATAGACTCCTGTGATTATCTGTTCTCCCAAAATTCATGTTTCTTGTTTAAGTTACATTAACATGCTTTAAGAAAGTTTGTAGAATAGTATCTCTATTGTATTAAAAGGGACTTCCTTTTTTTTTTCTTTTAATAAGAGTTACCAGTTCTTGAAGGGATTACAGGGAAAATATTAAGATTGTTTTCATATCAAACCACTGGACCATATTCTGATGAGATGTGCTGGTGTACCTTTCCTACAGTAGTTTTTGACATGTATCTCTATAAAACTCTATCTTCTTTTTTAACATGGGATGATCAGAAGACAAACTTCATTACTTGTGTGTTTGGACTGTGAATTCCTTGTACCAGAGAAGAGGTGTCTTCCCTGTGCTTTCTGCCCAGAACAGAGGTAATTTGTATTTATTAAATTGCTTAAGAGCTCCAGTAAAGATCAAGTAAGTAATAATGGATGCCTGGCTTTACTTCGATTCCATATCAATTATGAAAAATAAAATACTACCATTAATTCACTTCTAGCCTTTCTCATACAGAGTTGTGCTAATATTACTTGTACCTAAGTGCCATAGCTTATCCTTTGCCCCACATAAGTATTCCTCCACACAGAAACAATTTCTGCAGGATTAGGTGTTTATAATGAAACACAACAGCAGCTAAGTTGGACGTGAAGTTTAATTTTCTGCCCCTTTAAGAAAAAAAAAAAAAATCTGCAAACGGACTTTAAACTGTCTTTAATGTCTTTACTGACTTTGTTTTTACTTATGTACTTGCTTATGTGCCACAAAGCTTTTAATTCTTGGTCTCATTCATGAGCAGAACAGTTTCTGTTAATATATATAAGACTAATTTTATTTGGAAATTGGAGAATCTGCTCTATTCTTTAATAATTCATAATTTTATACAATGATCATAGTAGCTAACAGCAAAATTACTAAAAATAAATCACAGCTATTGAAACTACCTTCCAATACTCAGTATTTACCATTATACAAAATACAGACACATTGGCTCTACAAATTAAAGCGCTCTGAAGTGAATAAGGCTTCAAAGCAAAGATTTTTAGGAAAGCTATTCAGGCAAGTGAAATTATTTATTTTTAGTACTGTTTGCCTGTAGTGTGTCCCTTGTCTTCCCCCTGCCCCTCGCCACCCAACCCAGTAACTATGAGAGTGCCTGCTGGCAAGGATAGGATAGCTATAATAAATCTCAAAAATAGTCTGGAATTTGAAAGCTAGGTCAAATTTTCAGCTGTGTGCATTGTATGTACAATAAACTCAGGAATATTACATCTTTAGGAGCACTGTAATGTTACACTCCTTGGTTTAGCTAAGGTGCAAGGAGTGCAAAATAGTCTGTGAGCAGAGCTTTCAGACCCTGTCACCTTGAGCGTGAACATAACAAGCAGGGGATGGCAGGAGCTGAAGAACACTATCCATCTGTACCTGCCCCAAAGCAGACAATCTGGAGTGGCTAACAAAACCTACGACAGATCACCACAAGCCACTGAGCTCCATCCTCTAGCCGGGTAGATCATGCATGTCCTCATCAGAGCTGCAGGAAGGTGTGACAGACAAGAACTGATGCTCTGGCAGTGGTCCACCACTGCCATACCTGCTACGACCTTTCCCTGGGGAGGGAGCTCTGTGTCAGCGACGAGATGTTCTGTGTCAGCTGAGGAGAGGTACCAGGACGCCAGCTCAGCTAAGCAAGGAAGCCACAGCAGAGCTTAAATGTGAAAAGGCAGCATACGGGATGGGGAAAGACAGACAGGCTACAAAGGAGGAATTGAGAAACATTGCCCAGGCATGTAGGGGTGGCAATTATTGTCAAGGAAGCCAAAGCTCAGGTAGAGTTGAGACTTGCAAGGGATGTCAAGGGCACAAAGGAGAGCTTCTACTGCTATATTAGCAGTAAAAGGCTGACCAAGGAAAACGTGGGCCCCTTGCTGAATGGGCCGGGTGATACAGTGACAGCAGACACAGATCACAGCAGGTCCCCACCGCCTTTTATATCGTCACCAGCAAATTCTGCCAGGCCTCTGCACTTAGACGACTACCAGCTGGGGATGTTTATATTAAAGAAGCAGGAAAAAACCCATTGCTTACTGATTCTGATTGCAAATATGAACAATGAAAATATAATCCAAATATAAGCAAAACTGAAGAGAATTTCTTAGTCCTGAAATACTGGCATCATCAAAAATTTCCTTCATTTAATTAATTTTTAATTGCAGTGCCTACACTAACTTTCTCACTTTGAGTAAAAGGAAAAAGGGATGACAAGTTTTGAAGCCCTAAAAATCTAGGTCACTTATCATTCATGCTAAGTTGCCATCCAAATACCATATGGGCAGAAAAAAGCAGTGGCAAAACGGATGTCTTTTTCCCGAAATGGATGGAGCATTTCTGTTCTTCCTAAAGGCAGTAGTACAAGGCAGGTAGTCAGATCCATTCTCATTTGTTAAGCAAATTCAGCTATGTGAAAGATAACTGTGTCTGCTCCCTTTGTTTTACAACAGAAAGTAAGACTTGCCTGAATAGAAAAAAAATGCCAGTCTATTTTTTTATTTACATATAACATTCAGTTATATATATATACAGAGACACACACAGACACATACTATACTATAGCATATATATATGTATTTATGTATACACACTGATTATTTAAAAATTATTTTCTTCTTTTCTTTTAATAATATTAAGATTTAGCTGGGCTCTTAAGAACTCTAGACCAACTTTAGAGTTGTTAATCTAAGATTACACAATGAAAAAGCTGATGTTTAGTTCAGCTTTTTAGTTCAAATAACACGTAGCAAGAATTTACCTGTGCTTTCAAATAAACAGCAAGAATCCCCTTTATATGTAACAATCAAATGACTGATTCTTGATTTTACTTTTCAGTCCAGTCCCCTCTTTTAGATTCTGTTTATTATTTTCTATACAATAGATCCCCCCAGGCTTTGACTGGGTAAGTAACCTTCGACAAGTGGGGGGATGCACCAAAGGGCATCCAGATCCCCAGATGTGACATACTGATGCATTCTGCATTATCACATGTGGCAGGAGCTCAGGAAACGCTCACTGCAAGAGGCTACAGAAAGAACAATGTGTGGTGCTAGATAAACGTCTCACACTGAATATGCAGCTGAACATTAGGTCACCCAGCTTTACAAACCAAGCACAAGGCATTGCAGACTTCTGTGATAATTAAACAAAAAGCACTATTCATGTGCAAAAACAATGCTTTCCATCTTGCACCACAGGTGGCAGCGAACAACAAACTCTGATGTTCAGGATGCTCTTCTATGTGATGAGTTTAGTCTACCCATTCTGCTGTTGTATTATGAAACTCTCAGGATTCCCCTCAGACAAAACCAATCTTTTTTTTTGTACAACTCCTGTGGATCTTGTGAAACTCAGAGACCTGTATAACTCCCCTTTCTCCTACTTTATATTTTCTTACCTTTGCTATAGAAAAAATTCCGTTTACAATAATTCTCCCTGTCCACAAGAGGCACTGGTTCCATTCACCAAGGTCCTCTCAAAGGACAATGGAAGACAGCCTTCTCCTACCTTGAAAATGTTTTGTGGACATTAAGCACTACCTTTCAGCTGACGAAGAAATTACTTTGCTCCAGAAACAAGACTGCTGCCACTAGGCACGCCTCCCCCAATCAGCCTCCTAGCTCTTGTTAACTTACAGGGAGGCAGACTTACCGAAGCAGTACTGAGCTTGCAGCTCTACACACAGTTTATCATATGTAACAACGGTACCACAGGGCTATTTATTGTGCCTCATTAAAAAAAAAAAAAAAATCATTAAAATCTCCAAATTAACAGAAAGCAAGAACAAGAATTAAAAAACAACTCTACTGGACTACTTTCCTGTATTAATCTGTATTTCCACAGATGGATCAGTGTAATCCTGGATGTACAGACAAAGAGGGGGACAGCCCTGCAGAAAGGGATCTGGGGGTTGTGCTGGATGTAAGCTCAATGAGACAGCAATGTGCCCTAGTGGCCAAAATGGCCAACCGTATCCTGGGGAGTGTTAAGCACAGTTTAGCCAACTGGTTGAAAGAAGTGATTGTCCCACTATACTCAGTATTGGTGCGGCCTCACCTTAAATACTGTTTGCAGTTTTGGGCTCCACAGTATAAGAAGGATATAAAAATATTAGAGTGTGTCAAAAGGAGGGAAACAAAGATGGTGAAAGAACTAGAGGGCATGACTTGGGAGAAGTAGATGAGGATATTAAGTTTGTTCAGCTTAGAGAAGAGGAGACTGAGGGGTGACCTCATTGCTGTCTACAACTTCCTCCTAAGGGGGGCAGAAAGGGTGGAGCTGATATCTGGTGCCTAGTGATAGGATGCGAGGGAATGGCTTAAAGCTGCATTGAGGAAGTTCAGGTTGGATATTAAGAAAAAGTTCTTCAGTGAGAGGATGGTCAAGCACTGGCACAAGTTCCCCAGGGAAGTGGTCATGGTCCCAAGCCTGTTGATGTTCAAGAGGTATTTGGACAACACTCTTAGATATATGGTTTAACTTTTAGATTGCCCTATATGGAGTCAGGAGTTGGACTCGATGACTCTCGTGGATCCCTTCCAACTCAGGATACTCCATTCTATGATTCTACGATCTCAGATCCCAACAGCTTAACTAAAATACAGGCTTCATCAGTGCTTTGACATCCATAGTTTTTTCTAATTAAACTGCACGGAAAAGGAATGGAGGTTGAACAACATACAGAGCAATGTCCTGCTCTCTGTTTTGCTGAGGTAAATCTAGAACAGATGTGAACACAGAAGTTTAAATAGTCAATAATTTTTACTCACTCGACAATCCCGCTGTAGTGTTTTCATTAGTGCACTGTGTGTTTCAGAGTCAAAATACAACCCTTCATGCATGTCTTGCAAGAAATCCAAGTCTTTGAATGTAGGGTTGGACTTTTCCCTCTCTTTTCTTGATGCTCTCCGTTTGTATGTGGAACCTTTCAAGTCATATGTGAAATGCATTTTCAAAGCTCGTGGCAAAACATTGTTCATTACAACAATTCTAATATTAATGCCTCCTGACTGAACACAGTACAGCCCATAAAATTTGGGTAGAAGAGTCCTTGGGTTCTGGTTCAGATTCTAAAACAAAAGAGAGATTGTTAAATATGTCTATTTTCAGTAAACTTCCATGCTTAATAAAGTTTTTTTAATACCAAAGGACATTAACAAACATCTAGAAAACTGTGCATGTTTTCTCATTCAGTATAGTTTCTTTGACCAGTTGATTTTCTTTGTGGGTCTGTATTTCAGAAAGCTAGCATAAACACTGCCTTTTTGCCAGGAACTTATATAGGCCAAGAGCAGAGCAGTAACTGTATTTCTGCCAGGTTTCTCTTTCTCACATCCCATGAAAGACTAGGCCAAACCTAAAAGAATCCTGAAGATTTAGTTTATTTATTCTGACCTGAACAACCTTTGCATTCCAGCTGCTGGAAGGAGTTTAGGTCAAATGTAGTTCTCATTACCTTGACTTGGCTTCTGAAAACAGAACCCCTGTCTCCATGAGACTTTTCACATTGAGGGTTAGTGCCAAATGACCAAGTTGTCTCCACAGGAGTGTGAGGTCATAACAGAACCATGTCTGACCACCAGAACAGAAAAGTGTGAAATAATCCAAATTCCACAAGAGGCTAAAAAATTAGCTAGGAGAGCATAAGAGAGGTGAGAGTGAAAATCCTTCTGCTGAATACAGCTACTCTCAGTTTTTGGCATGAAAAAGCAAGACAGGGGAAAAACTACTTCAAGTCTTACGTGATTACTAAGTCACAACATACAACTATGGGAAGAAAGTACTTTCGCAGGAAATAGTCACAGTGATTAAGGTTTTACACTTTGGAACCCCTTGCAAATGGTAGCAGTGAGAATAAGTTCCCAGAAACAAAGCAGAGTGGCCTTATATTTACTTGTAATAACTCAAACTTATGCTGAGCTTATTATCATGATTAGAAACAATAACAAAAAAAGTACCTGCCACCATTGCTCTTCTTGATGCTGTCAGTGCATATTTTTTTTAAAACAAACAGTGAATCTATGTTACTGTAGTGTAATAATGACAATATTCCTCATTTTTAGTACAAGTGAGAGGGTAACTTCTCAAGTTACCCTTACTTAAGAAAGCAAAGAAAGAAAAGAAAGTCAGTCACAGGTCTAACACTCTGAAGTCCTGCATACCACCCAGAAGAATCTCTGTTCATATGTATGAGTGGCTTTTGTTTAAAAAAAACAACAGGAGAATTAAGTTCTACTTACTTTGGATCAATGGTTTCCCTTTCTGATGACTGACACACATAAAACAATACAATCAACTTAGCATTAACCCTCAAAAAACTCCATTTAAAAATCAAGTTTTGAACAAATTATATGGATAAACATATTTTTTACATCATTGTTTTAATGCATGAGAAATGGAAATTAGAAGTAGTCCAGAAACAAAAGTGAAACTGACCAGTCTAGTTCATTTGTCCACTCTGAGTGAAATGCAGAGGGTAGACAAACACAAAATGGAGAAAAAAAGTTGAATTAGAAATTTAGAAACCTTTTTTTGTTACTAGCTTATTAGAAGCAAAGTTTGGTATCAAATCAGAAGACGACATTCAGCTTCATCTTGAATGCTAAAAGAACAGCAATTATTATCTTAAAATATATTCTTGATTTATATCTATTCTTTCTGATGGATGTGCGGGGTACAAAGTTGAAAGACAGGTAAAAACTATCAAAACTATTATGAAAAATACGGATAAAGCCAATGCAAGATTAAAAGACAACAAATAAAACCGAATCTTCAGAAGTGTGACATGAAACGGGAAAAATACAGGTAAAATACAGTCTTCAACTACTTACCATATAATAACCCGGCAAGAGCTTCTGAAGAAATTCAGCCTCTTTGTGTTGAACTGTTTTGATGATGAACTCGTCATCACTAGTTACAAAAAACAGGGACCCACTGGCACCTGGGTTGGATAATTCAATTAAAGGCTCACTGCAGATTGAGTACTGGAAGAGACAAAAATTATTTTTCACTGCCAATGCATGCATTACTTAAACACAAGTTTAATACAAAGAACTGCAGGTTCAAACAGGCACAGGAGAATCACAGAGCTGCTTCTTTGGGCTTCAACTGCAGCAACTCCACTACTGTACAGCAAGCTGGGTCACAGTAATTTGGCTGAGATTTGGCAGGGCAGTTGTTACACTCCACTCTGCCCAGGACACACTGCACAACCATGGCAGCTGAGCGTACGGTCCCTCTTCACGTCCCACTGCACCAGCTGAACTTTCCCTGGAGTGAAGCGAGTGGTTCAGGTGGAGAGAGTCCATCCCCACACCGTCAGCATTGCAAATTCCTGAGTCAGGAGCCTTAAGATGACATTTTCACTGCAACTGTTCACTTCTCACAGCCGTTTATGAAACAGGTACAGGAAGACATTAGACAAACACACTGGGAGTAGACGTTTCTCACTGTAGACAAATAGGCAAGTCCTCTTCTGTGAAATTGGGATTGAAACCACTAGAATAATAATCTCAGTATAGCTGCTAATGTAGTTTTCTGATTGAAAACTGCTTGAAACAGAAAAACTAAATACCAGTAAGGAGGAAAAATTGGGGTTTGGAGGACCATTATTTTGGATGCTTAGAAAGGCTTTCTCTTCCACAGGGAGACAGTAATAATTATGATCACATTAAGGAGGAAAAAGACACCAAGGAGTATTCCTTAGTAGTTGAACTAGATCTCACACAGAGGCTAATGTATGTTTATTACATCTCCATTAATTCACTTCATGCTTCATTCAAACTAAATGGAGAGGAGACATTAAGCTCAAAAACATAGAAAAATCTGTTTATATTAAACTCGAGAGCTTGTTTAAAATATAATACCATTAAACTTCCATTCACACACTCTTTTCCTGTGTTATATATCATCGATTTCACAGACTTGGAGATTTACTGTACAGTCCAATATTTTAAGGCTTCAGTCTTTGAAAGAAACAAAATTACACAGGACATGAATTGTGAGTATTGTAAGCACCAGGGAATTATTCTTAGCAGCGTAGTATGTCTTCTGGTCTTCTCAGAATAAAAGGAGTAACTGTTTCAGTAACAAATATCTGGTTTATTGGGTCACTGCCTGAGATGAGTTGAGCAATTCCACAAGAAAAAACAGTTTTGTTTGTTGAAAACAGCTTTTATTAAATTCAACTGGAGTCTTGCCATTGATTTCAGCAGGCAGTGATAGCAAAGAAAAGTGATACAAGGAAATCTAATAAATACGTTCTTTTGTGAGCACTTGAACAAAAGAAGCATGCTTCCTATGGACTCAAACCACTGCCTTAATGCATTTTCTTATCCTGGCTCCAGCTGAGGCTTTTCCCATGCTTGTAATTTTTAAGAGACTTTTGCATGCTATAAAAATGTTTCCTGTTTCTCCCCCTGCTTCTCCAGTTCAATCACTTCCAATTAATATGAGAGACCTTTCTTATTAATCCTATAGTTGCGATTGTCTACAAATAGAACAGCAATACTGGTCTGTAACGCTACAGACCTTCAGAGCAGTTGTATTGCAACCCCCGTGTTTTTCTTGCCAAAATATATAAAGCTTCATGAGTAATTGTCATTGTTGTAAGCACTTGAAACCAATTATCCTAAATATTAAAGCTTAATAAAACAGTATGGCATAAGCACAAGTTATTAACATACACCGTGTGTTGGTCATTTTACAGTTGAGTTCATTCCTGTAAAATAAAAGTCTACCCACCAAGTGCTGCTATACAAAGAGCCCAGCTAATTTTGACTGGACACTTATGAAAGCCAAATCAAAACTGAAAAGTAAGAAAATCCCTGACAATTAAGTACTTTATGATCAAGAAGTTTCCCTGCAAAATGCCAGTACTCCATGAGGTTTCCAGTGACAATTTAATTCTACCAGCTGTTCAAATGTATTTACCCTCGTTATCCAGTCTGACTTTTACAGTGCATTACCGTTCAACCTCCTTGGAAAAGGTGAAACTGTAAATCTTCGGGCTTTGTCATTGCAAATTAACAGTGTAAACTCACATAACCTTGCTGCAATTTCTCCTCTTTATACTTTACTTCCCTCCCCCTTCAGCTGCAGTTGGACAATCGGTTGGCATATTGTTACAGTAAAGTGTTTTAGATAGGAATTGGAATTACGATCACTACATGACAGATCCACAAAATAGAAACAAGAGGGACTGTTCAGCCAGAACCCTGACACATGCTATTGGGAGCAATCTCCAGATGTTTTGGTCATAACCAATTGGGAAAAGGGTCCCAAACTAAAAATATTTTTGTTCTATGATCATAGTACCCCTCTGATCACATCTGCCTCTGGACCGCAAGGGACTGCAACCTGCTCTGACTGCAAAGTGATGCCCATTTAGAATCAGAAATAACAGAAATGGATTCTAACATGCTTGCAGAGCAAGTATAATCCTAACAGAGGCATGCATCAGTTACAACACCACACACTGAAATTCCAACTATATTTCACAAAAACACGTGTTTGTTGAAGGAAATCTGCTTTTGCATTTTCAAGAAAAGAAGGTGCATTTAATTTCAAAACTAGCTTTTCTAGTTGCCCCTTTTCTGTGGAAACATATCACTAGTGTCTTTTGCTATGCCAAGAAGAAAAAGAATCTGCAACAAGTTGCCTTTACTGGGAATTTCCCTCAGGGATTAGACATTTTGTAGCTAAACTGAGTGCCACAAATCTCCTACTAACAGCAAGCAGTCTTTCTAGAATCTTTAATTTATGCTACTGCAAATGCTTCCTTAGATGGAATAGAAGTTGCAGGTGACAATAGTTTTACTCTAGAAAGTAGTCTTTTTAGCAGCTGGCAACACAGCCTGAATACTTGATCTTTGCCAGGTCCATAAAAGGAGATAGACAAACAACATATTACATAATGACACCTTTATAAAACCCCAACCCAACTGCACTTCCCGGCTGCTAACAACTATAATTCAGAGGAATGATCTGTTTTTATATATAGGTATTGTCACAAAGGCTAGTAATACAAAATCCATACATAGTACTAAAGAATTAAAACCAGACACTCACATTCAAGTTAAATAAAAGCAAAACCAGCTAAGTTTTGTTTTTAGGCTCGTTGTCTAAGATGGGAAAAAAACCCTTGTAAGACATTTGAACACCGCAGAAGACAGTGAAGTAGTACGTTAAGTAATGTTTCAGCACCATTTAATCAATTTTTCTTTTTTTATTCATTCAAGCTCTTTCAAATTCTTTTGATTTTAAAGAAACATCTAGAAAACAATCCAGCTCTGCTTTCACAATATCCTTCCAAAAGCAGAACTACAGGAGAAGTAAAATAGTAGATCCTCATCCCTGGCAGTGCACAAAGTGGTTATACCAAGTAAAGCCTGCTTTTATGATGGCAGCAAATGCATCACACTTTTCTCATGTAAACAGTTGAATACTGAGAAGGAATAAGTCTTCAAACTATAAAATAGAGAACAAAGGAGATGCTCTAACATGCTTCTTTTTTAGCCTGCCACCCACTTTTCTCAAGGCTAGATGGGAACATTTGCAGACAAACACTTCTTTAATGAAGTGAATAAATAACGCAAATAACACAAGAGCACTTTACGAGAACTGAATTGGTAGAAGTCACACTGATTATAACTTCTCTAGAAACAATGACCTGAATGAGCAGTAATACTCAAGTTAGTCTAGTCAATTAAGGCAGGCTTTTATAGGAATCGTCTCATAGATGAAGAATTAAAATTTTCGTAAAACACTAAAAATATTCACTGATTATAAACCACTGCACATACAAAATTTACTGCCCATTTCGGCACCACTAAAGCATCCTCTTTTGTCACTATGAAACTAGTACATGTTATAACCATTTGTAACTCAAAAGAAAACTGCAAGCTCTTACCAAGTAATCATCAGGCTTGATACCAAAAAGTTCTCTGAAATAGCGGAAGGCAAGAGGTGCATACGTCTTAAATCTGAAGTCAGGATAATGATGAGCAGGGGTGAGATTGCTCCCTTCACTGAAAACAAAAACAAAAATAAACCAAACCCAATTATTACCGAGCAATTTTTAGCTACTTCCTTCTTGCAGCTGGTTTTACTGTAAAGCTGCTTAACTCAACCATTGGCCTTCTGAGACAAGAGTCATAAATGCAGATAAACCTCCTTATCACCATTAATCAGTGTAATAGAAATGTCTATGAGAGCCAGAATACTACCAACAAATTTCCTTTCTCCTGCCTTAAAGGAAATGACTATTTTCACCACCCATATCCATTTGCGTAAAGATCGCGTTTAAACTAGTATTACAACTTCTGATACCCCTCCAAGGCAAGCCAGTCTAATAGCTTACTGATGCAGGAAGGGTCACCCCACCTCATGTAAGCTCTTGCAAAAAGTTTGGAAGTCAACGCAGCAAAACAACTTCACACTAGCTTGCAGGGGAGTCAGACTAAGGATACTAAGCACAGCACAACACAGAAGGCAGAACCATGCGGCCAGAGCAGTGGGCGGCCAGAGCAGTGGGAAGGAATCAGGACTACATACGGTTTTTTGGTGCCAGCAAACATTGATTGGCTCAGCCTGATCTATGAAACGGCATCCTCAGCATTAGTCTCTTCTGCAGGCTAACTGCAGTTATGGTATCTCTTTCTTTCTTGCTAGTACAGTCCAGAATTGGGAAGCCACTCTGGCTTTGCTGACCTTAAAGTGCTTTTCTGTTTGTCTGCCTGTCATGTCACGTATTTTACCCCACCTCCATCTAAACCAGCGCTAGCTTACATGCTCAGTTCGTTAAATAGGAACACAGGGTACAGACCCTTTGGGGAATTCTGGAAAATGGTATGCAGTTATAAGCAAGATACAGATTCAAACTAGAAGAGGCACAAAGACTACTAGGGTGGCCAGCCTGGAAGACAGTCTTTCTTAAAGGGGGGAAAGAAAAAAAAAAAAAAAAAAAAAAAAATCACTGTAGCTCCTTAGCGCTTTTGCTCGTTTTATATTTACCATCTCACTGTATCTTAAGGCTGCAGCTGTACGAGTCTTGAGATGAATACTACATGATTTAAGCTAACGGAAAAGGTCAGCAGTGAAATGCTGCCAGAAAAAAAACAATATATATAAAAACTGCCTGTGGATTCATTTATGATGGAAACTAAAAGAAGGCTTCTAAGCAGAAGAGTAAAGTCCTACACTACGATTTTAACACAAACAAGAACAACTTTTAAGACAAAGTTTGGTCAGTATCCGAATGGTTTGATAAACACATGAGTACAAAATCCAAGACTTGACACAGTGGCTGAAGTCAGCTCTTCCAGCACTTCTTTACCAATTTACTAACTAAATTGTTCAGAAATGCAGCATGTACCTCTACATTTGGCAACAATATCCAAAGTATACAAAAAAAGAAAAAAAAAAACCACAAACCAAAAAACCTAGGAATTCACATAGATATGAAAAGGAATAAACTCTAAGCAACGTTCCTGCAAAGAGTAAATTAAATATCATGAAAATATTTAAGAGCTTTGATCCTGTACAATTAATGCTTGTCATATGAACTTGTCACCTTCCATTAATAACAATTCGATGACAGAAGTCTACCCAACCCATCTAGCTGCATGCATACCACTAAAGCCCAACAGAATTGAACTGCTGCTAATTAGACAGTGTGAGCTGGAGAACAAGCTTTCTCAGGCTCCAGAAATGCATATACTTTAGACTCTTGAACAGGAGACGAAAGGAGGGAAAAAACAACCTGATTTCTGTCTGGAAATCACAAATAAAGAGATGGTTGTGGATGACCAAGGATACATACAAAGACATGAGAATACTGCTGCTTCTTGGAGTGCTAAACCATATGGTTAACAGCTAGTGAAGGCTGCCCAGTCCTAATGATCACTTTATAGTCTACTGTATCACAACTCCAAGGTATTAAAATCAAATCCACATGTATTTTATTGTTCCATTATATAGTAAAAAATGGAAATCAGTAGGATACCAGGCTGAAGATGGTAGTTTTTCTTTACAGTTAAGAGTGGCTAATGTTTTTTCTTATAAGGTCTTTCACTTACTGCCAGAACACTTTCAGAACACTGCCAGTCTCGTCTGACATTAAGTTTTATACAGCTGGATGCGTCTCATTGAATTTTTGTGCAATATGAGGATGCCACAGGGGTAATATATAGCTACACTGGGAACCTGGGGGCGTATTTGTAAATGCATTTAATTGTTGTAAAATGCAGACAAGAACAGATCAGTGTTCTCTGCTGAAGCATCACATCGTTGTCAGGGAAGACCAATCATCTAAACTTTATAAAAAAGCCCTACCTTTCAGTACATAAATACCTCTGTAACTGCTTCCTGCAGCCATAAATCAAAACCTTCCATTGTGAAAGTGTGGCAATAAATGGATTACATGTCCTTACTACACCAGAACATGTACTGTTGTTGGAACTTCACCAGGCTAAAATGAAGATAGGAGGTTTGCTATGATAATACCATGGGTCCAAGCCATTTAATCAGTGCATATTGGGTCTGCAGGTGGACAGTAATGCATAGTAAGTGGAGATTTATTCCAGAATGATTGCAAAACAGAGCAGTTAGTTTGGAACAGCATCTAGACAGAGGGCAATTCCATGTATTTAGAGCACATCAGTTTACTTTATTACAGATATGATAGTCAATTTCACTATGCAGACAAGTTTCCTTATCATCTTAAAATCATCTTAAAAATCCCTTTTACTAAAGGTCTGCAAAGCTTTTCATCATACCCTACCATTTCTGTTAAACATATCAATTAGTTTCAGCTTCATTGCCTCATAGAATAGTTTACAGGATCCCAACAGTAAGCTCTTCTGTGATGCAACAAGCAAGCTTGACACAAATTTAAGATTTCTTGATTACCCCTGTGGAAGAAAGTTTGTAAGGTTTTCTTGTGGCTACTTTTAACAGAAAAAGCACCCTCACTTCCAGTAATTTCCTACAGTAATGGCAAACCTTCAAATTCCTTGTGCCTCAGTATGTCCTTGCTCTTGCCTGAAAAGGACAGATTCCATTATACAGAATGCTTGATGTAAATACATCTCTACCTTATTTAGACATGAAATTATGCACCTTCCACTCTATTAGCTCCTGAGAGAATGTGTTTTGTGGTTTCTCCCCACATTTTCTTAGTGCATTTTACAGGTGCGTTTCACTCTGGCTGGATTAAAGTATATGCGCAAAACACCAGGTATAACAACTTTTAATCAGGCTAGGGAGCGTCATGGGCATGACTATGTCTTTGAAGTTGAACAAGAAAAATACCCGTGATCTGTTGACAAAAAAATTCATCTGCAAAATGGAGCTTTGGACACAATAGAAATGTACTCTATAAAAAAAGGAGGTAATCGTGTAATTTTCCTCTCACATAGTTTAGGGCACAGGTCTACCAGAAAAAAAGAGAAAAGGAAAAATAAAGGCTTTTAATACCAGCTTTGATTCTGGCAATCTTGAGGAACTCGAGTCTCTGTATATAAGCTATGACAACCAATATAGGCTTTGGAAAGATTAGGAAGCAATTGTAACTTATGAGGTATTTTAATAACCTTAGCTGTAAGACCACGGAAAAGCAAAAGATTGGTAGGTAGAATAAAAAAAGAGACATTAAGCTTACTATGAGATTTTGATTTAATAATTAAATTTTAGATTTTTTTTTTTTAAATCAAGCACACCTAGAAATGACAGTATGTGTATCTTAATCTGTCTCTTAGTAAATGCTCAGAGTTGATTTAAAGTGTAGGTGGTGCAATATCAAACTAAAAATGAACTAAAACTAATTACATTTTTAATGGCTAACCCCGCGGCTTGCAAAAATTTTGCTAAACACCCAGATATGTTTCTTGGCAGCTTTTTTCTACTATGGCCTCACCCTGGTAGGATGTACTCAGGAGACAGCACACCTGTCTGAAGTGGCAGAGAAGGCTAGCTGCATCTCTTTGTAGCATGCCTTCTTCGCAGAGCAATGTTAATAGGGTCTGGTGTAGCTGTTAACAAAAGAAATAGTCAAGCTGTAGTCATGGGCCCATGTATATCCTTCTTGTATATAATGTAAAAAGAGTGAAGAGGAGGAACACCTCAGTTCTCTCATGTGAAAGCAACTCTTTTTTAAATCTTAGAATCGAAATAAAACATCTAAAATTAAATGCTCCCAATATTAAAAACTAAGAGTATCCAATCTCAGTTTCACTGTTCTTGGATCAAGCTGCTCTTTTACAATACATCAAAATGTGTTTAAACTCTACAAACTGTATCCAATAAATACATACTGACAGATCAGGTAGTGCTTTGGAGTATTCACTTCCTATATATCATTTCAGAAAAGCAATTGTTTCCCACATGATGGAAGTAGGTATTATGGCTACCTGTACAAATAGGTGTGTGTTTGGCTTTTCCATACCGTGGGATAAAGTCCAGTGGTAATATCCTTGTTTTTCACTGTATGTTCTCCTATACTTTCGGTTACTATATGCTGTCCTAAGAAGTCCCCTGCAAGGGGGACTTTAGGGGGACTTTAAAATACAACTGTGAATAGTATCTTCAAAACAAGTCAAACCAATCATATCTGTGTAACAGCTGAATACACAGACATTTTCTTATGATGATGATATAACTATTTCACAATGAACTGGAGATGCCATTAAAGTAAGGGATCTCAGAGTACTTTAAAAATAGTTTGTCTACATAACCACACAAGTATCCAGGTTATCACAGGTTTACCAAGAATTTGACAGTAACAGAAGTAGCTAAGACCAGTAATTCCTAATGAACACGTTTTTGCTTTTGTTGCCACACTATCCCCATTTTGAATACTATTTGTTTTGCAAACAGAAACTACTTCCTCCTATCTGTGCTATGACTCTACTCACAAACCATAAAAAGTGTATCAGAACTTGGGTCATCCTGTGCATCTCTGCAACCGAAGCACCAAAGAAGAGCAGCCAGCGCTTTATCAAAGCCTTCAGGCCGCTTTCTTATCTCTCTTGTAAAACTGCC